CTCCTAGCTTTCTTTTTCCTGGATACCCTTAGTTTGCACTTGGATGACAAAACCCAACGCTGATGTTCAGCAACATCATAGTATTCCACTATATTCATATTGGACAATGTATTCTTCATTTTATTATTGCCTGCATTCTTTGAGTTCATTTCCCAAGGAACTCCATCACACTGCCAGCCTCCACCAAATTTACTACTCATGGACGTTATTGCTTGAATTGCAGTTCTGCTGTTTCACTATTTGTTTTGTTGGCAGGGAAGGAAAAAAAAAAAAAGCCTGAAAACAGTTGAGTGCCAGTCGTGCTGGCGACTTCTGTTTTATTTATGTTTTCTACTGAGCCATCGTGAATGACAGAGTATGTCTGGGACATGGTTGTGGGCAGTGCTCTAAGTGTTATAGTTGGAAAGGTGCCAAAGTTGCATTGCTACCAATTTTTTACCATTAGCCTTCTGGAAGGAGGGATTCAAAGTCTCATTTTATTCTCCTCTTCACCAGTGTCACCTTTACAGTAAATTAATGTGAGATCTTTACCAGAGACGGAGCTGACAGGATGAGTTGTTGATCCTACAGTTCCTCGACACGGCAGGAGGAGAGGAGCAAATCCCATAAAACGTCAAAGCTGGCTGCGCTTCGGGTTTGAACTGTGAGGAGTCACGGGCATCCTCTGAGACAACTGAATACCCTTGTTGTCGGCTGAAGCTACTGTGGTGGGATTGCATTAAGCCATGCTGTCCTCAAGCTCACTGGGAAATGGTGAGCTCCACCCTGAGGATGTGGCAAAATGCAGCCGCTCTTGCTTACTCAGCTGCATGGGGACTCATGTCCAGGGCTGTAATTAGAAGGTATGCCTGCTAATGAATTGGTGTAATCCCCTGCTGTGTCCAGAGTCTGCTGTGGGATCTTTTTTCCTGCATTTACAGAGGTGGTTGACCTTGTTAAGTACTTAGCAATAAAAATGTGTTTTCCCTTGCCTGTTTCACAGCCTTTCTTCTGGCTCTGCCAGTGGAG